GCTGGCCTCAAGGGAGTTTGGGTCTATGCCCAACTAAACCACATAGAGACCACCATCCAAGTGATGCCTCAAGATGCTCATCAGCACCTTCAGTTTCCTGTTTTCCTTTATTTATGTATTTCCAGGATTTTCTATCTGCCTTTTGCTAACCAAAACATATTAAGTGCTTTGGTCAAAAACAGTCAAATGAAAATTCCATTGCTAAAGCTCTAGCCAAGGGGAAGAATTCCTATTCAGCCCCTGCCCCATGGCAACTTGAGGGTGGGCAAGCACTGAGGTGCCTGGTAACTGTGTCAGGAGATGGGTTCCTACATTTAAGTGGCAAATCAGCACTCACCTCCCACTGGTCAGCTGCTGCTGGCCAGGTGTGCACCCTCACCGCATCTCCTAATCATTGTTCAAATGGCTGTCTACTTATATAAACTCTAAATTTACCTATTTTCACTCAATTACATTTAAATACTTTATTTGCCAATCAGCAATCTCTTCTTAGAGTGTTAATTATTTTGTGTTGAATATTGCTTCTAAAATTTCTTTGAGGTGAGCTTTACCATGAAAGAATCCCTGACAGATGACATATAAACAGACCATCTTGAGCAATACACTTCTTAGGTGTAGCTAATGGTTTTAGCTATGTTCTTTTTGGTCGCCTTTATTAAACCTGGTGAATTCAGGAGAAATCCACAAAGCATTACATTATCAGCATAACATGAAACAGTTGCAGGTAATCAATAAATATATATACTTTATGTGCTCTAAAATGTAAGGAACATGATTTCTCAAAAGCACACTTAAAAGGGCTATTCATGCTGTTTTTCATTGATTTTTTTCTCTCTTGGTACAAGTCACAGTGTGCATTCTGTGTGCTATTACAAAGACAAATTCTGGACTTAAAAAGATGAATGCCGATAGTGGAAAGAAAGCCTAAACAGAACGCAGTATTGGTCAAACTCCCAGAGGCTAATTAAATTCATCTGTTACACCAAGATATTGCGGATAATTATAATTGTTGGGATGGATCTAGACTTCCAGGGAATGGGAGTCTGATATCTGGACACTCCAGAACAATGTGAGAGGTGGTACTGGACACTGCAATCTTCATCAGAGGCTATTCTTCATGTGCCTCACTCAAAGAAAGTATTAAGTATAGTTACACAAGAATAGGCATTTTCAGTGGTCATGCCCTTGTCTGTGAAATGCTCTCCCTGGGGAAGCACACCTGGAACCATCATTATTGGTTTTAAGGGACCAAACTAAGACCTTTTTATTCACTCAGGCCTTGGGTAACTAAGCTGATTTCCATGGTGTAGTGATCATATTTTAGTGGGGTAGCTAGGCATAGTCCTTATTATGTCACTGTATGAGTATTTTAGGTATTTTGCTACAGGTAGGGAGCCGTGCTGGTCTGCCGTAGTCGAAACAAAATTTTAAAAAATCCTTCCAGTAGCACCTTAGAGACCAACTAAGTTTGTTATTGGTATGAGCTTTCATGTGCATGCACACTTCATTAGGTGTCGTTTACCTATTTGTAATAATAGCAGTAAAAATACTAATATTTATCATTAAGTGCACACTAGGTAAGAAAAGTACAGTCGTACCTTGAAAATCGAATGGCATGCATGGCATCATGTCATGGCCATGATGACAGGGGGAGTTAGAGATTACCCAAAACAGAAAGTACAGAAAGAATGGAAAATCTTTAAAGAGTATCTGGAAAAGTATTATAATAATAAACACCTCCTGGCAGAAATAGAATGATCCTTGTAAAACAACAAATATGTTTTTTGGTATCTGAGGAAAACAAAGAAAGCAATACAACAATTTGGAACTGTGTGTGAAAAAATAGTAGAAATAATAACACAATGAGTCTAATCGGAAGTCAAATGTGTTTATTTTGTTTTGTTTTCTTCTTTCCTTTTTTCCTTTTTTTGTACCTCTTTCTTTGGTCTTTTCCTCTTGGAACTGCTAAGAGATAAAGAGATAAAAGTTAAATATGAAAACTCGAGTAAGTTAAAAGTGATGTTTTGTAATTTTTCAATTATTGTTCATTTATTGTTAAAGTTGGTCAATTGTAATGAACTGATGTAGTAGCTACTGCGGGGGGGGGGTTGTTATTTTTGAACTCTAAATAAAGCATGAATTTTATTATTATTATTTTTTAAAAAAGAAAGTCAAATGGAATCTGTTCCAGAAGTCCATTTGACTTCCAAAACGTTCAGGAACCAAGGCGCAGCTTCCTGCAGCCAATCAGAAGCCATAGAAGTGACGACGGACGTTCGGGTTCCAAAGAACGTTTGCAAACCAGAACAATCACTTCTGGGTTTGCAGCATTCGGGAGCCAAAACGTTCATCTTGCAAGACGTTCGACTTCCAAGGTACGACTATACCTTGTTCCTTCTTAGTGGAAAGTTGAAGGGAGAGGAGACAGTTTGACGAAAATGTAGCAAAGTTTGAAGTATGCTGAGATGTTAACTTGTATTATCATCACCCTGTGGAACACAGGTCAGTCAGTGATATCCCAGTCATTTATTCCATCTAGAAGTTGTTAAAAATGAGTATATTCTCCATTGTCTTTTGTTCATTGTCTTGAACAAATGGATATATTTTCTTGTGCATGCAGTGTCAATAGCAATGCACAAGTTCCTTTATAGGGCTGCAATCCAACACTCTGGATTCTGGCTGGAATCCAACACTCACTTACTTCAGAGTAAATCCCACTAGAACTTACTGTGACTAATATCTAAGTAAACATGTATGGGATTATCAATCGGCATTATTTCTGAAAGGGTTTTTCTTTCCATGGCAAACCCTTCAACACTACAGCTCCTTGCAACAGTCACAAGACAGTGGAGAAGAAGTGTGTTATGGTGGGTGGAATATTATGGAACTCTCGTTATAAAGAAATGGTACCCTACAGTGTGATTTGCATCATGCTGTGTGAGCCGCCTACACTTTTCAGCAGTTGGTTCTGCGTCTGTAATTTATTGCTCCAGAAGCCATTATAATAACACAAGAAATGCCTCAGCAAGTGTGGAGGGAAGAACACATCACAGTCAGATTGTAATGACTATTTAGACTATTTAAACTCACTCAGCTTGTTCTGCATTAGAAAAACAAGCCCTATTAAATTACTTATTTTATACATTTTATTTGGCATTCTAGCTTCATTGTAGTCGCGATTAAACACCTTATTACACTTTTGAAGAGAGACGCTTATGAAAATAATTGCCCAGAAATTACTGTGTTAAGTGTAAAAACTGTTGGGTAGAAATCTGATTTAAAAAAAACAAAAAACCCCAAAAACTTGTAGATCTCTGCTGGGCAAATATACTAGGTTTCTTAGAAGGAAATGTCTGTTCCATTTCAACAGAGTGCTATCAGAGTACAAGAACAATGTGGGAGGCAGCACTTATGAGTTATAAGCTCAACCTGATTGGCATTAGGGATAAGGTACAAAGGCTATGGGTTGCCTTTCGTTGGTTGGAGAGATCCTTGTGTCTCACTGGTCAGCTACTCCCCACCTTAAGCAGGGCAACCCCTGGTCAATAAGGTGCCAACCAGCCAGTGTCTGCCTGTTTCAATGTGTCCTTGGAGCTCAGAGTATCATTTGGCAAACAGACCGAACCACTGCACCAGGCAACAAAGAAAATAAACATACCCTCTTGCACCTAGTAAACTGGAATATCAGGACAATATGTCCTGGCTTCTCTGCTGGCCTACTGCAGGTTAACAACTCACAGAAGATGGCCATCATTAATCGTGAGCTGGAAACACTCAGCATTGATTTTGCCACTTTACGGGAGATCAGACTCACTTTGAATGGCAGCCTCTGAGAGAAGAACTACACCTTCTTCTAGCAAGGAGAGCATCCAGAAGAACCACATATTCATGGTGTAGGCTTCGCAGTGAGGAACCACTGACCAAGGGCTCAGCCACCTCCAATCCAGTTAACATCTTGAATGTGCTCCCACTATGTGCTTGGACATACAGATCAAGGACCTGTTCTAGAAGGAACTAGACCAGGCTCATTCTTGGTTCATCCTTGGATGCCTTCCCTATAAAGAAGGGTGTGAAACAGAGATGTGTTCTTGTCCCAACTCATTTTAGTATATTCTTCTCTCTATTAATCTCATATATCTTCAGTTTGACTGAAGACGGTGTGTACTTCCATTCAAGGAGTGATGTTGGTCTGTTCAACCTGGCATGTCTCCATGGCATGTTGTGAGATGTTGTTTGCAAATGACACGTCTACAAAGATTCATCAATCATTTTGCCCAAGCCTTCATGGAGTTCGGCCTCGCCATCAGCCTGACGAAGACCAACGTCTTGCATCAGGGCATCACCAGCACTCCGCACGTTGGCATTGGTGACCACATGCTTGAGGTGGTAGACAAGTTTGTTTACCTGGGCTCCACCATCAACAACAACCTTTCCATTGACACTGACCTGGACAAGTGCATTGGTAAGGCAGCTACAGCAATGGCTCACCTCTCCAAAAGGTTATGAGAGAACAAGGAGAAGGAAGGGGGGAGTTCAAGGGGGAAGACAGACTGACAGTTTAAGCTCAGACTCAGAGGGAGGGCCACCAGAAATAGCCCATCCCATGACACGTAGGTGTGCAAGAAGTAATGAGAGGTGTGAACAGGAAAGGAAGTGAAAGTGGGGCTTTAAATGTGGGAAGAGGAAGGGGTGGAACTCAGACTCTGCAACAGCTAAATTGGAAGCAGATGCTGAGTGACTGAGCTCCAGAGTGATCTGTGTGTTTTGAGCAATAAACCTGAGTTAATTACTGCCGGAGTTGTCTCGCTTCTGTGGGAGAGAACCAACCATTACATAGGCAATATTTAACAGTTGATGGTGACATGACAAAAGAAACAATTGGCCATGGTTTACCACTCAGAAGTAAAGGAATATGTTTATTTTGCCAAGGTATTACAGATCCGTCAGAGGCAAGTGGGAAAAGTGCATTGGTGATCAAATCAGATCCTTAACACTGAAGTGCCTGCCTCTGCTATGCAGCCCCTGCTAACAAGCTAATGAAATTTCCTCTCCTTATGGTACAAGATGGTGCCTTCCTCTATTCTGTGTAAAAAAACAAACAAAACTACCTCAGCTGGATTGACAGTTGAATCTTTCTTCAACACTGGCAGCAGTCCTCCTCTGATTGCAACCAGCTCAGGGGGCACAGGACAGACTGTGTGGCACTTCGGTGCTCCGGTGTCTTGCTGTTTCTCCCCAGGCCTCAGCATCTTCTTCCAGAAGCGCCTTCTTCACTCTGTCTAATGGTAGGTCCGGCCCTGTCCAGCCTGTGCTTCTATAGCTACAGAGACCAAGAGGAAGTGAGGAAATGCCAATTTTTCATTGGGTGAGTTTTCATATGATGGCTTTTCATGCCACTGTGCTGATGTCCTGCTTGTGGACGTTGCCCAGGAATCTAGTTTGACCATTGCGTGAACAGAATGTTGGAACTGATAGGCTCTTCTTACATTCTTATGACTGAAATGCTGGCATTAAAAAAAAAGGTTTTATTTCTTAATTAGTCTGAATTACTGTCTGTATTATCATTGAATGTTTGCACAAGATGAGAAAAAATATTCAGGTTACTTCAGATAATACTATTTTAAAAAACACTATTGATAACGTCTTTTTTCTCTTTCACCAGCTTATCAGACTACTCTTCTATAATGCTGATTAAAATTACAATCAGCTTCCTAGCCATCTAACTATCCTAGGTATCTTAAGAGATAAAGCAATCTTTTCTATCAATTAAGTGCATTTCTGAAAATGTGTAAGACTTCTCTGTGAATCTTTGATAAGAGCAAAATTTATTTGGAAGCTAAACTAACATTTCCTTCTTCAGTTATTTGCCACCTGCCCCTAAAATCATATGCAAGGGTTAAAGTGAACAGCACCATAAAAAATTAACAGCCCATGTTGGCTCTGTCTCTTGTAGCATGTGTATGTACATACTGTTAAATTTCTGCTGGTTTTGTTTGTTTTTCTCTAGTCTATTTCTGGTGGCTTAGTCAGCTTTTCTCTCTATTTTTCCATCTCTGTTCTTGATCCAGTATAAATCCCAGTCCAAACAGTGCTGGTGTAATTTCAGTGGCAGAATTCTTAAAGCTACAGTTCTTGTACATTAGGACTTTTCTCTTTTACCAGTTTTATTTTATGTTCCCATCACTTTTGGGTTCCATCATAATGACAGTTCTTTCCTCTTTCAGGGAAAAAGAACAACCACAAATCTGCAGCCTTAAATGTTCCAGACTGTAAGCTTACCTGTTGTCTGTACTATTTCTATTGCTCTTCATTCACCAAACTCGTTCCTGTCACATCTTTGAATGGCTCTAGTCTTTCTCTTGGCCACTTCTGTGTTTCATTTATCTTCCCCACACTTTCTTCCACAAGTGTGGTCACTATGTGAGCTTCATAGTATGTCTTCTTCTTAGAATACTTCTCCTTTCCAGAGCATGCCTATTCCCTTGTGACAGCATGTAGCTATACCAGCCAGATTCCAAAAAGCTACTTTAGGCATCTTTTGTCTTGTCACCTCCCTCCCTCTCTCTTTTGAATAACACACAATATCACAAATGACTGCAGGTATTTTAGGCATGCCCCCTGAGATGTTTCCCCTTTCCCCCTCTTTTTTTCAATGATAGACTCCTGTGTTGTATCACAACCTGTAAATAGCTTCCTTAAAATGTCTGGTGCTCATGGGATAGGAACATAGAACAATACATGAAGAACAAACCACCCCACAACTCACATGTTCTGAGGACTTCTGTAACTATAGTCTTTTTCATATAGCCTCTTTTTCTCCACTATTGACACACTTGTACCAGAGACGAGTAGGAGAAATGTGAGGTGTCTTTGGGATGTGTATAGAATCCAGCCCACCCCTTGCCACTGTGTTCCACTGTACAATGCATGAATAACTTTCACTGACTAAATACATATGAGTCTTGTGAACAGACCTGCCATCCTCCCTAACCTGCAGAGCCTAGAGGTTTCTTGTGTTCTCTGTGTGTATTTTATAAACAGAAGACTCCAGCACCCTGTTTTAACAGTGGCTGCCCAGCTGCTAATGGAAAACTTGTGAGCAGGATCTGAGTACAATAGCAACTGGCATTCAGAGGTTTACTCCTTTCAGTACTAAAGACAGTACAGCCTAGACATTTGTATAATCCTCTTTTAAAGCTCTCCAAGTTGGTGAGAGATGTGGTAATTACCACCTTGTGGTAGCTAACTCCATAGTTTAACTATGTGCTGTGCAAAGAAGTACTTAATTTTCTCTGTCCTGATTCTTCCAGCATTCTCCTTCACCGAATGATCCCAGTTTTTGGCGCCATCACAGAAGGAATAGAACTTTTGTCTCTCAGCTTTTACCATATCACATGTAATTTTATATATCTCTGTCATGTCAAAGCTCACTTGGCTTTTATCTTATCTTTAAAAAAATCCCCAAATTGTGTCCCTTTCCTCAAAGGGAAGTTGTTCTAGCCTCTTGATCATATTGGTTACCCTTTTTTGAGCTGCACAATGTCATTTCTGAAGTAAGACGAGCTGTAGCTATATGCTTGTTGACACTCTCAAAGAACTGTAAAAGCTTCATGAGACAGAACTTGTCTTTGCAGAAGCCATTACATATCTAAACAAAAACTTTAATAAGTACAATTGTGTTTTGTTTTGTTTTGTTTTTGTTTTGTTTTATATACTGGGGACTTTCCCCATAGCAATCCAAACAGACTCCCAATCATGCAAGATTGCTGTATTAGCTGGGAAATTAAGGGGGGGGAATCCTAATTGAAATGGCATAGTACAGTGATTTGCACACCCAGATTTCTGTTCTACAACATTCTGCCCCACCCCACTTCACCTAAGTAATCAAAGAGGTAACTTTGCAGCAGATACGGTGCACTATTAATATTTTTATGTAATTAAGAAGTAAAAGTAGATAATAGTAGATAACAGTAGATAATAATAGTGTCATCTTAACTTGACTCTATTAAATACAATTCTAGCCCACTCAGTCCCAGTGACTTATGAAGAGGTTAGGAATTTAAAAACAGCAACAACAGCTAATAGAGAGAGCCAATTAAATACCATTACAAAAAAGGCAAGATTCTGAACCCTTTATAGTTATAAAAAGAATTGTGAAAATAGCAACTGTATATTAAGGTTTGCTTTGACAGGGAAAAAAAATGTTTGCAGAGCTGTACTCTTTGGTGGTAGTCATTTCCTTACAATTTCTCAGTCAATCCGTGAACTTTTCTGTTACATCAAAGTATATTTCCAACTGGGCATTAAAATCTACTTAAACCACAGCAGCTCATGCTCGGTGTGGGCACCACCTCCACCGTATCTATCAATTGATATTAACTTCTCCCACTGAGTTTATCTGCACTGCAAACGCATAATAAATCTGTGAAATGTGACACTTCAGCATTGGGCTTTTTTCCCTTTGCCTTCTGACAGTTCTTTCCCTTTGTATCTCTGGACTATAGAAAGTTAGATTCATAAATCTGAAAGGGTCCACAAGGTAATCCAGCTGAAACCTCTGCCTGAGTGCAAGTACAGTTTTGCCCTGTGCCCCTCACCTTTAAACTTGATACACTGAAGACCATTATGCAGTTTGGAATGCACTATAGAAGAAGCAGGGTGTCCCCAGTTCTGATCTGCCTTTGAGTAAGGATGGATGGAATATTTTTTGTTTCATTTCACCGAGAGCCAGTGTGGTGTAGTGGTTAAGAGCAGTAGACTCATAATCTGGGGAACCGGTTTCGCGTCTCCGCTCCTCCACATGCAGCTGCTGGGTGACCTTGGGCTAGTCACACTTCTCTGAAGTCTCTCAGCCCCACTCACCTCACAGAGTGTTTGTTGTGGGGGAAGAAGGGAAAGGAGAATGTTAGCTGCTTTGAGACTCCTTCAGGTAGTGATAAAGTGGGGGATATCAAATCCAAACTCCTCTTCTTCTTTTTTCAGAGTTGAATGATTTAGAATTTGGGTCTAATAGCCACCCCTCTTTTTTGAAACCATTCATCTTTCACAAAGGTGGGGTATATTCAGCAACTTTCAGGCAGAGAAGGGAGGTGAATTTTGCAAAACATTCATATTGCTTTAAGCTCAAATATTAAGTTGGTGAGGGTTTTTCCAAGTGTCAGCTTGGGCCTAATGGAGGCAGCCATCCTTCACCCTGCAGAACGTCTCCTGAAAACAATCCTACATTGCCATGCTGTATTGTTCCCTAGCAGCTTCACCTCCCACAGAGGACCTATGAGGATCGTCCACCCTCAGAGACTGACCGAGTCAATCACTTTCCAGACTGCCCTGAGGGATATCCAGGCTGATATGACTGGCAGTCCTGTAGAAGCCATGGTTGACTTAAGGAATATCTGAATGGATAAGGCCCTTGACACAGATAAGACTGAGACACTGTTAGTGGGTGGTTCCCTAGACTGGATGGATGGGTAGTACCTTGCTCTTTATGGAGTTACACTCCTTCTGAAGGAATGGGTACATAGCTTGTGGGTACTTCTGGATCCTCTGCTGTTGCTTGAGGCTTGGGTAGCAGAGTGCCTTCCATTAGCTTTGACTGGTGGCCCAGCTGCGCCCCTATCTGGACAGGGATAGCCTAATTTCTGTCGTCTATGCTCTGGGTAACCTCCAGGCTAGATTACTGCAACATGTTCTATATGGAGCTGTCTCTGGACAGTTCAGAAACTTCAGCTGATGCAGAATTTGATGGCCAGGTTGCTCACTGCGGAAAGAAAGTTTGAACATATTACACCAATTCTGCCCCAAGGACACTGGCTGTCAATTAGTTTCTGGGTCCAATTCAAAGTGCTGGTTTTGACCTATAAAGCTTTAAATGGCTGAGTACTGCAATACCTCAAGGAACGCCTCTCTCCATATGAACCTACCCGGACCATTCTGAGGCCGCCTCCATGAGAGGTCCAGAGGGTGGCAACACAAGTACAGGCCTTTTATGCAGTGTCTCCCCCTTTGGGAAATGTTCTCACAAGGGAGGGAGAGAATGCTTAACCTTGTATGCCCTTTTAAATGTGTTTGTGGAGGCGGGGTTACTGGTTTGTTTTTGTTCTTATTTTTATTATGCATTTTGTCATTTTATTTTGTCTTTTTATGCAGTGAACTGCCTTGAGATCTTCGGATGAAGGGCGCTAAACTAAATGATCAATTAATTAATCAATCAATTAAATTGTTCACCTCTCTGGGTGCAGGCACACACATACACATCAGACTCTGAAAATCTCACAAATATAAGAAATTCACAGGTTTGAATGGCTGAAGTATTTAAAAGAGTTTAAAAGAGTTTATATTATGTGTCCAGAGAAGTTTGGCTCACATTACTTTCCATTAAACATCTTGTTTGGGTTTATAGATCTATTTATGTACAGAAGAAGTGATAACAGAAGTTTCTGTTATGGAGCAATAGTAATAAAAAAGGGAGATAAAACATAGAAAAACCAGTCTAGCAATTATTCTAAGAATAAGAACTATTTGTTAAGACATTTATGCAAATCAGATATCTGCTTCTCATTAGACAGAAATGGTTCACCATTTTGTTACAGATGGATAATTGCCCTCACAGCTAAAATGACATTATAAAGTGAGGCTGCAGGTCAGTTTTTATCCCTGTCACAATGTTTTCCTATCAACCCAAAATTTAATTTTAGACATTTGCATTTCATTTCCCCCTTCCTGGCAAAAATGAGTAAACATGTTTAAAAATTAATGGATATTTTAACACAGGTCATCTGGCTTCTGACTGACAAGTGGCAAAGAGATATGGAAAGGAGAGGAAAATGATCAATTTTGCTTCAATTCTGAAGGCTAGATGACAGATTCCCCCCCCCCTTCCCTTGGATGGCATTCATGTGACAAAGTAAAGTGGGTAGATTGGTTTCTGTTGGAATGAATTACAATTTATTCCTGTGATGCGTCCTAACATGATATATTTAAAGATTGACATTTGCAGTAGGCACTACCTCCCTCTAACACTAAACTTGCCAGGTTTTCTGTGGACACAATGTTGCAGAATTTATCAGGGTCACAGCCTTGAATCAGGGCTTGAACTGAACTCCAAAACCTCCGTGCTATAGACGATATTATTGATACAATGGAGTTACACATATCCAGCACTACATAGCATCAGGGTGTTAATGGACTGGATGGGTAGGATGTGGCCTGCTCTGAAGATGCAGGTTGAGGACACTTCTGGATTCAACCCTGTTGCATGAGGCTCAAGTGGCCTCTGTGGAATCAGCTTTGGCTGGTGGCCTAGCTGCACCCCTGTCTGGAGAGGGATAGCCTAACTTCTATTGTCTATGCTCTGCTAACCTCTAGGTTAGATTACTGCAATGTGCTATGGTTTAGAAACTGCAGCTGGTGCAAAATTCAGCAGGCAGTCTGAGCACATAACACCAGTTTTGGCGATGGCTACTGATTAGTTTCCAGAATCAATTCAAAGTATTGGTTTTGACCTATAAAGATCTAATATGCAGCTCAGGAGAGCAGTACCTCAGTATTTCCTCACATGAACTAATCCAGACCCTGCAATCTTCATTTGAAGCCCTTCTCCATGAGCCCTTCCATGGGATGTCCAAACAGAAGCAGTTTTAGGGCGGCATGACCAATGCAGCAGCACTGGGAACCAAGTGTCATGGACGAGCAGTCAGCTTCACCTGCAGAACAGCAGCCTGAAGGGGGAGAAGGTGGAGTGACTCCACCTGCAACTGATCAGCCTTCAAGAACACAGAGAAGGCACTAACGTGAACCAGCTGGCTTCAGTTTTCTTAAGCAGAACTTCCAGCAGCAGTCAGGTGCTGGTAACAACACTTGTAGTACCTGGCTCTATCTTGCTGCTTCCTGCTCATTTTGAATCTTCAGCCTCTGATCATCAGATTCCCTGATCCCTGGACTGTCTGACCACACGAGTTGCTGTTTTCCCAACCTTAGGACTGGACCTGACTTTGGATGCTGACTCTCCTTCCAGGCAAGTACACCTCAGAGACTCTTCTGGTTGGCTGGCCTCCCACTCAACTGAGCTCTACACACTGTTGCTTAGCAATGAGACTATGACACCGCACTGCAGGGAGCACCACAACAATGATGCAGAACAAAGCACAAGAGGCCAAATTTTAGCATTGTACAGGGCACTGCTGAAATTTGAGAGCCCAAAGTCCCCCACTGGTCCAGGGGGTGGCAGCATTAGAATGGGCCTTTTCAATGGTGGTTCCTCACTTGCGGAATGCTTTCTTAAGGGAGGCTCCATCTTTATCTGCTTTTCGGCACCAGGCAAAAATATGTCTTTATACATGGGCTTTTGGCCCTTAGTTTGAAGAATTTTAAAGTATCTGAGGCCTCTTTTGGTGAAGCAGAATCTGCTAGACCTGTATTTTATTTGTAGAGATGTGTGTCTGTGTTTGCTTTTTAAGTTTTTTATTGGTTGTGTTTATTGTAATTGAATTTATTATTTCTTTTATTATTTCTATTTATATTTCTGCGGCTAGAGGGTGGCACCGACTAACTACTGTTCAGACCCTTGGTTTATGGACTGTGAAGTCCTACAGGGTTATTGGCTTGTTCTCCTGTTAGTGAACATTGCCTGATGGATTGTGATGCAAGATAGGATTTTCTCTGTGGCAGCACCCCAGTTATGGAGCTTCCTCTGGCAATATGGCTGGCCTCATCACTGATGAGTTTCAGAAGTCAACTTGAGTCTTAAGAACAGGCATTTGGGTAAGGTTTATAAGTTGAATGTGGTGGCTTTAATGTTGCTATGGAATTAGTTTCATAGTGTGACTTTGTGCTTTAATTAACGGTTTGGTTGGTTTTTACACCATTGTTTTATTGCCTTGTTCACCATCATGGGATGGATGGTCCAGAAATATACATAATTTAAAAGTAAATGAAGGAGGAGACTTGGAAAGTTCCAGCATGAGGAAGGCATTGGAATGCAATGGCTTCATATTTTATAAAACTATAGAAGTATCTATAAGCATAATCATGTATAACACCATAATAGCTCTTTGATATGCATCAGTCTCATAATCACACAATTATTATGTGTGCTTTAACTACAAGCCTCAGCTAGAGTGTCCTTTCGTAATCTTTGTATGCAAAAATGAAGCTTTCAAAAACAACCTTAACAATTATCAGTGTTCACTGTTTTCTGTTCTACATCAAAATTATTTTTGCACAATGGAATGTGAAACTGCAAAAAGCAAGTGTAAATTATCCCTTGATGTTTTCTAAGTAGTGATGGGTGGAATTGTGGGAGATAGTTTGCTCTGATGGAGGAGACAATTATTAGTTACTATAACTAAGAAACCATGAATACTTTTTCAATATGACAGTTACAGAAACAGCAATTGACCACTGAACTCCTCTACAAAATTGATCTAGCTAAAGGATTAGAGGCTGTATAGACAGCGTGCGGGTTCAGGTGTAACACTAATCCATAGTTAGGAGAATCAGCTGCAGCAAGCCTTGGGCCAGCACACTATCCTCTCCTACAGTGCAGGTAGGAGGAGGAATTTGGAACCTTTCACTACTGCATCAGCCAAACCCAGACAAATTGTACATTATCTTATATGTGATTAGTTGATGCAAGCCAAACTATAGTTTATGGAGCTAGTTTGCGTCAACCAACCACACTTAGCATTAACCACAGTTTAGGGCTAAGTCAGCATACTTAATATTTACACCACTTATATGTCACCAAAACTAAAAGGATACAAGTGTGCATAAAAACTGTGTTTACTGATGTGTATGTATGGACATCAGTAACTGTCCAACAGTTTGACTTTACCCCCAAAGGCACACGCTTCCATTGTCTCCAGAGATAAACAGATGCCAACAGCAACAATGATGTATAGGTGTGCAAAATTGCAAGTTAATATTACTGTAATTTAAACAGAAATCTAATACATACCTCATAGTGGGGGAGACTGTGTCCATGGGTGATTCCAAACAGGCATGTACTGTATTGTACGATGAGTGCAGAATCCACGTTATATAATTGGCATCAAAATGCAACCTCTCTTTATCCACCTAAATTTAATCTAGATTTACCTTTTCTGTGAAACAACTGGGTCCCCGCCCCACCGCAAAAAACCCCCACTAGTATTTGCAATATCTGAATGAGCCATTTTCAATATTACATTCCCATCTAGATTGTCCTCTGGGTACACTGAGTACACTGCCCGGGTTCCCATTGTTGATGGTCACCTGGAACGCCCTGCTCTCTTGTCTAATGAATTTTTATTTTTAAACCAGACTGAGATTGCACAGCCCTTGAAACAGAAGATGCCTTCACAGATGCTCCAAGTGTCCCTATTTTCCAGGGACGTCTCTGATTTAGAGAAGCCGTCCTGGTTTCTGATTTGAACATGGAATGTCTTGCTTTTTCTTAGGATGTCCCTATTTTCATCGGAGAAATGTTGGAGGGTATGTCCTCAAGGACTGTCCTCTGTAAAGTAGGACACATGACCATTCTAATGCTAAACTGAAGTTAATCTAAGACAGAAGCAGATTAAAAATAAAAAAACCAACTTTCTCATCATGGCTAAACTGGGAGGGGAAGCCTGTGTGACCCCAATGTTCACTGAGCCTTGTTCTTGTAATGTTGAAGCATGCCTTAATGTTGCATCCAAATGCAGCCAGTATCAGAAAATAAGCCCGTCCTCCTGCCATCCTTTCCCCTCTGATTTAATTCTTTAGCTTCACTGTGCTTCTGAGATTTCCCTCCTGTACAAATAATCCCTCCTGGTCATTTCCTTCCATCATTCCTTAGATCAGGTCTTGGAGTGTAAACAGTAGTTTCGGGTACGTTCCCATGAGTAGATTTGCTTTTGGAGAGGTCTCCAGCATAGCCACTTGAAACGGAGGCCTCCCGAACCAGCAGATCTCATCTCCTAGTGACTTCTTGGAAAGGGTCAAGCGTCCTCCCTGGAATATTTGTATCATCTTATTCAGGCCTGGACTAAATGTCAAAAGGTTTGCTGGAGCAAATGGAAAGATTCAGCTAAAAATGATTTTTCTGTAAAGAGTAACACGCAGGTTCAATAATAAAACTTTCAGTATAAGAAGCTTAGCCCTCTTTCTCTGCCAGTCTTAAAAAGATACTGCCACCTGCTCTTATCTGAATAGCCACCAATAACTGTCAGTTCCATTTCACTTTTTTGTGCCTTGCCAGAGAACACAATAGTCTTCTTTTGTGTCTCTTCATTTATCTCAGAGTGCTTAGAGTATTCATTTGATGTGCTGAGTATGATAAAGCAGTTACAGATGGATTATCAGGTGATACACTTCCTTCAAGTGATAATGCAATTTAAAATGGGGGCAGAGCTCTGGGTATTTTGTTGCAAAAAAGAGAGAAGGATATTAATTGACAGGAAAAGGTATAGAAGCTGGGGGGGGGGGTAGAATAATAAAAAAGTGACTTTCTCTTGTGACACTGTAGAGAGATGTCTCTGGAATAATTTTGCCACTGTGGCACATTTGAGATGTAAGAAACATTAACAATGAGGAGGGCTTTAGGTGAAGATCACTCTGCATCGTAGATGGCATTATCTGCTGATTTAGCTGGGCTGAAAACTGCTGAAAAAATAATCCTTTTGTGCCCTTGTCAGAGGCTTGGGCCTGAAGTAATAGAAAATCAGCTTTACCTGAGTCAGATAATCATTACAAAATGAATTTCGTTCTTCACTCGCTCAAAGTAGTAATTGGGAGAAAAATGTTTGATGGGGATGATGAATATTATTTTAAGTTAAAGCTTACTTAAGATATGCGTATAAAATACTAGGTGCTACTAATAATTAAGCTATTCTGTGTACCTGTAAATTATCTGCCTTGATTGAAAAAGAGATGATTACTTAAAATGGATCTTTTTATCTTTTAAATCCCCCACCCCACCCCCAAATCTTACTGTTTCTCCTTTTCCTTAGCATTCACAAGAGGCATTCAGTTAATCATACCGAGGTCTCTCCCTTAGCACTGTAGTAGCTGATTACCCAGCAGGAGGTGCAGTTCCAGCAGGGTAAGTCAGAATGGTGTTGCCAGTTCCCTGGAGAGGGACATCCTGGAAAAATACCAAGGTTGAGAACTGTCATATTCACAGCAGTAGGTGCATTTTCCTCAGAAATTAATGGAGCAAGCTGGGCAAAAAAAAAAATGTTTTTAAACTACATCTTCCCTAGAGTAAGATGCAAATTCAAAGCCCCTTTTGAAGCACTGGAATGAAAGTTGAAGATAAGACTTTTTAGGGGTTTTTGACATTGATAATATAGGCAACTCCAGCAGTACGAATATTAAATTGAAATGGAAGATAAGTGGGGCAGATGTTGCTCATGCTGGCTCAAAATACAATCATAACTCTTCTGAGAGCTAGATTGAAGCATTCACGAAATTTTACAGGCATAAAACATAACTAGGGTTTGATAAAATGAAATGAAAGCTGTCAGGACCATTAAAATATGGACAAAGACATGATACCTCAAAACTACTCTCAGGACTCCTTTATGCCTGAGAGATCAAAACTGTCCCAAAACATTTCTCTGTAAGAAAGCCACAGCATAGCTAGATAAATCCCCAACTTTGAGTATAGACTCCATTGCAGATCGTGACCATGATGATGGCAATAATAGCTCAACAAACTCACTTTCTTCCCCTACTAATTCAGACAAGTTTAGACCACTACAGGAAAACATCTTTCATAAGCCTCTACAATCTGAGTTTTGAGGATTGATAAGTTTAGTGTCCATTGAAAATGGTTTCTACAACACTTGGAATAAGGAGATTCATAGATTTTAGGGTCAAAAGGGTCCAGTGAGATTAAGTGGTGTGACCTACATTGCAGAGGCCAACTTAATCTCTTCCATTTATTACTTTCTCAAACCCGGTATATCCTATTTGCTAAAGTATGGCTTTTAAAGTGGCACCTAAACTTTGCAGAAAATCCACTGTTATGATTACGGTAATAATAAAGTAACAATTTGATCTATTTGTTAATCATCCATGCTTATTTGAAAGT